CACGCTGTATTGCCATGGTAAGCCCACCCAAGCTTGTGATATTATTATTGCACGTGGACTGACCGAGTACATCATAGGTACTTATCTGGACAGGGCTTGCTGGGGGCGATGAGGAATATTGCGCTATTCTTGTGGCCGTCAACTCTATCCTCCAAATGATCCTCTACGCACCCCTCGCTATTCTCTTTGTCAACGTCATCAGTGGCGGCGGAGCCTCCCAAGTTTCCTACTCTACCGTCGCACGGAGCGTCGGAGTCTTCCTTGGGATACCTCTTGGAGCTGCGATTGCTACTCGCTTTATCCTCCGGGCCATCAACGCCATCTGGTACGAGCAGAAATTCCTGAAGTGGATTGCTCCCTGGTCACTCCTGGGACTTCTTTACACGATTCTGGTTCTGTTCGCTTCGCAGGGAAAGCAAGTTATCCACCAAATTGTTTCTGTGGTCCGGGTTGCTGCTCCACTTGTTGTATACTTTATCATCATTTTCTTTCTGACCCTTCTGGTCACGAAACGCCTCGGATTTGGCTACAAACTTGCGGCTACTCAGAGCTTCACTGCGGCCAGCAACAATTTTGAGCTTGCTATCGCTGTGGCGGTAGCTACATTCGGAGCCAACAGCGATGAGGCACTCGCAACCACTGTTGGGCCCTTGATTGAGGTTCCAGTTCTGATTTCATTGGTCTATGTCGTGAGATGGATTGCCGGCCGTTGGAATTGGAGGGATTGATGGCATGGTAACTTTGATCCCAGCCTTGAAGCATCCGTTTTTATTCAAGTTTCAGATTACCTATCAAGACTAGAGGAGGTTGATGACCTTTAGAAAAAGTGTTCCGATGCCTCGGTACTTCGGGGTTAGAATTAGAATGCCTGTCGAGGCTGTGTTCGGTAGAGCAAAATGCGCTCGCTCCATTCATCAAAAACTAGCCTTTTTTTGGTGTCATCCGATTTCCGTGAGGACTATACCACACTATTCTGGACACCATCCCTTCAAGAAATTGCGAAACTTGAGCCTACGTTTCGGGACGAATTTCCACTCAATCCCGCCTTTGTTGTAGACAAGTGAGGTTGGGTAAGAGCTTTGGCATCTCTTCTTTTCGGCGACGACATGGTTCGTGTTTCTTTCAATCGCGGTTCGCCAGGCGATTTCTCTTATTGGGAAGTCTATTCGTCTATGAACACCAGAATCTGATTTCATTCTAAGCAAAAATTCAATCTATGAGCGATTCCAGCTGCTGCTCATGTATCTTAGCGCGTAGGGACTTTTGCTCTAGTTCAGTTCTTTACAAAAGCGTCCCGTTCGCTGAAACGATCACTCAACAAGGCAAAGTGCGGCCGCATAATGACGGTGTATTTCACAAATTCCTCAGCGCAATCGACCAGCCGATCTCGATTGCCTCCTGCCATCAATCTCGATCCGCCTTCTTCAGCATCCTTATCCGTAAACAAAGTGTAAGCCTGCGGAACTGACGATTGATTTGGGATCGTGAACATCCTCATCCATCTGCCCAAGATGCGAAGGCTGTTAATCGTGTTGAATGACTGAGAGCCACCGGAGACCATCGCCAGTCCCAAGGTCCGTCCTTGTGTTGGCCGTACCGACCCTGTACTGAGAGGAATCCAGTCGATTTGGTTCTTGAACACGGCAGTCAAATTGCCATGTTGCTCCGGAGACACCCAGAAATGTCCATCGCTCCAGCGACTGAGCTCTCGTAGCTCCTGTACTTTTGGATGGTTGTGCTGTTCATCGTCTTTGACAGGTAGGCCCTGAGGATCATAGACACGTACATCACACCCAAGCCGCCACAGGATGCGAGAGATTTCGAAGGCCAATAATTTCGAGTAGGATCTATGCAATTAGTACACAATATACTGATACGTCCAGAAAGACTGTCTTACCTCTGACGCAGGCTCCCATATAAAATCAAAACCTTTATCCTCTCGCCTGTTATTTTGAAGTCATTGTACGCCATTTCAGTCACAGTTGCGAGTTCCAGTCTGCTGACCCAGTCATCGCATTGGATTTTGTCGGGAAGAAGAAAAGGTCGGTATCTCGAGCGAAGCGTAGAATGGTCAATAGATGCCGGTATAGCAAGTGATCGAAATGCAAAATCTGGATGACGCTGAGGTTTGAGGACCACCCTCATGGATGCTGTATTATTAAGGTCTCCATTCATTGACGGGGTTTTGAGATTCGGAGGCATGGGATCCTGCGGTTTGCAAGAAGTAGAATGATCTTCAAGCGTGGTAGCGGCCGTCATTGCTCTGTATGTGGATGTAAATGTCGTTCCAGGACTGAGAGCGACAAAGGGCTGCGTAACGGGCAGAGAACGAGGGATTAAGTGTCGTTTCTCGCCAATATTGAGGTAGCACATGCCACTCTTCAATTTCATAGAGTGCGGAAGGTCACTAAAAGTAACAACAGCAGCGACCTTTGCAAATGGTTCGAACAAAGATTGCCTCAGCCGAGAGATGAGAAATGTCTGGCTGGGAAAGGGACACTTAGTCATTCAACGATTATAATTGGTTGATGTTGGTTTCGGATGCACTGGGAGCGTCACTCAGAATCACGGATGCTCCACTCGCCACAACCGAGCCGGGGTTCTGGATCTTCTCCGTACTTTTCAGCTCTTTCTGTGGCCCATCATGACACCACTGTTGAAGACGCTCCGCTGTTATACTTGCACAATTCCACGAGGCAAAATAGAACCACGCGACTATTCGAACCCACCTGGCATTTCTGTTCTACAGCATGGCTGCAGGAGTACGTAATATCCATCTCTCAAGCCTTCAGGTCCGGTTGCTCATTTGTCCAAGGACTCGTTCCAGCGACAAGCAACCGACAGAAATCGTGTTAACCAGCGCAATTTTCGCGCCCGGCGTCAAGCATATATCCAAGAATTGGAGCAGCGTCTGCAGCAACTAGACAACGATGGAGTTCGGGCAACGAAAGAAGTCCAAATTGCAGCTCAGCGCGTGGACAACGAGAACCGGCTCCTGCGATTGCTGCTCAGAACGCAGTTTGGTGTCAGCGACTCCCAATTGAACGAATATCTTGCTGGAAGTATCTGCGCTACGGATGTTTGCACACACAGGTTTCACCGGAATGTGGATGAAGATTATGCATCTACAAGGTCCAAGGAATCCGTGTCAAGTCAGATATTTCCAGCCAGACCTGAGGTGTCAAGCCAGATATTTCCAGTCAGACCTGAGGAGGTGGTCAGCACGAAAGAGAGCCAGGAGCCTACCGTAATAGGATCAGTGAGGACGGATGAAGAGCCACCGCCAGTCCTTGTAGCAGCATCGCAATCACCTGAGTGCGAATGGACGTCTGTTATTCCCCCACCACCAGACACAGACTCGTCACAGTCTGTACACGCTGAGTCACATGTTGAATTACCTCACGCTGTGACCTGGATGGTTTTCGAAGAGGCGTCTCCCGTGGAACTCGAAGAATATGATAATCGCCATGAACAGGAGCCCTCTTATCCTCATCATTCTCCATCCAACAGGAAGACTGCTGGAGGTTCCTCTCCGTCTGAGACGCGAGCCGATGCTCACGCTGGGGAAACATCGTGCGTGGAGGCCGCGAAGATAATTGCGAGTCTACGCGGCTGCAATGTCGATGACGATATGTGGAGTGAACTTGGCTGTAGAGCCAAGCAAAGCTGTAGGGTGCCGAATATTTCGGTCTTCGAACTCATGGATAAGGCTTAATTACAAAGCACGATATAGACATGATTAATCTCCCTCCCATAGGCACCATATTAGGCGTCGGACGCTAGCCTACCTTTGTCCGTAACCTCACCGCCAGTGGCTGTCAGCCCGACGCGAGTTGGATAAAGAATTTTTGGACCTCAGTCTTATTAATCGCTGCACAGTGAATTCCACTGGAGCCATTGCTAACTAGAACAGAGGAGTCTATTTTCCTTCTTGCTTTGGAGAGCCCCAAGCATCGACTTTGTATTCTTCCATAAGAGAGACGTAGTCTTCTCCGGCATTTGCCCAACCTGCGACACCATCAGTGAGGACAATGCTGCTAATTTCCTCAATGTTTCGATCCTTGATAAGATCATCAAACCAGCCTGCGGCACGATTTCCACGTCCTCTCGAAGAACCTATTGTCGAAACAAAACACGATGGGTCAATTAACTATGGTTTTCCCTTTCCATGTCAAGAGCTTACCACAGTACCAGATCACCCGCTTCACACCAGCGGCTTGACATAAGTCCAGTAACGTAGGTAAGCTAGGGTACAGACTTTGCGCCGGGAGGTTGATGGATCCTTTGATTGTGCCACCCTGTCCAGAATTAAGCGGGCTCTGGACTCGATGAAGAAATGATCAATTGATTTTCTCAAATACCTCATGATCAGTCCTGCGTAAATCGACGAGAAGAAAGTCAATGCCTGACTTTTTGCCTCTTTGTAGTTCGTTCAGTAGATCTTGTCGTTCGATCGTCAAAGGGTTTTTATTTCGCGGCGGCGGGTAGGCTTCGTGCCATGCTGGGAGTTTGGACATGCTGATGTCAAATGCGAAGAAAAGATGGGAGGGCAAGAAAAGGCCGTAAAGTCTGAAGATGAAAGTGTTAGGTGGAAGTGGCCACTACGTAATATATTGGCTTTGTCACCGAGGGCTTGTCATTGGCAAAGATAGCCCCCGCGTGGGAGCCGTTGCTACTGCCGCCCTCTTTTTGCTTGTGTCACACTGAATGACATAAGTTGTACAGTGGCAAAGAATGGCAGACTGCCTATGGCATCACTTTTGTCTCAGGTGGATACTTCCGATTTACTACTGAATCTGGAGCAAAGGAGATGCGTGACACGAAGACTGTCGCAAACGGGTAGTTGTTTGATGCGCTGCTAGTGCGCTGTTGGAGATGCAAGAACAAGTCATGTCATAGGATCCTAGTGCTTTGCGAAGGTTTGATGTGGTTGATCTGAGTTTGAATGATGTGTGAAGGAAATTCTCTCAGTCACTGAATTAGAGAAGCTTTCCAAGACAATGTACGAGATCAGCTATGACCCGTGCATCATTGGTGCCAGAGACATGCTCGTTGGCATCGACGCTCAACTTGGACCTGTCCGCAGCGACTCCTATCTTGACGAAGGAAAGCGCAGGCTCATGCGAGTCTTTGTTTTGACCACCGGGGCCTTCATCCCAACAGCGCCGGTCGTACTCGAATGCAGAAGTCCTTCTGGCGTTTCCGAGCATACCACTTTCATAATTGCCGTAATCCTCGCCACGATGGTTCAAGCAATTGCCGTCCCGGAGTTCTACATTCCTGCCATATCGTCCTTGATATACAACAAAGTCGTGGAAATGGATATGCTTGTGGTCATCAGCATTACAGGTCTCTTCTTCGCCGGCAGTGACCTAGATACCAAACCTTTCTTCGAAACAAGTACACTGCTGATCACCTTGATCCTGCTTGGTCGACTTCTTGTGGCTCGGGCTCGCAAAAGAGCAGTGAAGGCGGTGTCGTTGAGGTCTCTGCAAGCGTCGATAGCTATGCTCATCGACCAGACCATAGGCCGAGTCATTGAGATTGATGCGCATCACTTCAATACGGGGACAGAATCGGTAGCTCTCATTGTCTTCGGTGATTTGGGTCTTGGTTGGTCCGAAGGTTCGAGAACAATCTGCCGGCGACGCCATCGGAACCGACCATAAACTATTGTGTCGCTGTTCTGGCCACCAGTTGTCCCTGTTGCGCTGGGATTGGCAGTTCCGATGGTACTCGGTGGTCGCTAGAGGGGTGGCTGCTCGTGGAGGCGTGATCATCAAAAATGCAGATATCATCCACCGCGGCTTCAAAGTCACCGATATGGTCTTTGGCAAGACAGGAAACCTCACTGAGCCGAGCCTCGAAGTTGTGCAAGAGTTGATCTTTCCCACGGACATAGCTGATCAAGACGCCATGCTCTCTATAATCATGACGATGGTGAGGAGCAACAAGCATCCAGTGTCCAAAGCATCTGGGCAGTCAGTGTCCAGCCTTGGAATGACCACCAAACCAGAACAGGAGCTTGGGCCGAGAGTGACCCAAGATTCTAGCTCTACAGAAATAACGACTGCACCGGAAGAGAGCCCCCAGGTGTTGGAGTTGTTCCAGAATCTCCCGAAATGCATGCAGGTCTACCACTATCCCCTCAACAGGCGTAGACGTGCGATCATCGCTACAATTAGAATCAGACATTCGCTTATTCAACCATCGATCCCCGACGACTCTAGATCATCTAGAAGTTAGCAAGATACTGCTCACCACAGTAGAAAATCACCGATTTAATGCTGGCATGCTGGCAGATGTTCAGCAGAGTTGGGAGCCAGCGACCCCTTGACCGTCCCACCCTTTGATCCGTCAGAGCTGAGTCGGCTTCCTCGGAACGGAATGTGCTCTTACCTGATAGTCTGCCTTTCGGAGATCGACCAGCAGAAAGTCCACGCCAGGCTTGTGGTCTCTCTGTAGGCGCTCGTGCAAATCTTGCCGAGTGATAGCATCGGGTGATTGGTGCTATTCCTTATTAGCTGCCATCTTGCGAGTTTGTGCTGAAGACGCGTTGAAGCGTCGATATTATCAATTTTGACTGTTATAGCTGGTAGTTGAACACGCTGAGTTATGAGCGATCGTGACGTCCTTCAGGTTACAAGGCTTCTGCCGATTCGCGCAAGCATTAGAACAACGTGCAAGAATCATCTGCTAGAACAACCGTCAACTAAAAGGATGCGTTATGAGGGGCCGCTTTACATACTGGTAAACAACCTATATCTAATCTTCGCATACTTCACCAATGGAGAACGAAAACGTAAAATTTTTGAAAAGAGGGCGGGCCTGTCCAGCTGTCTGTGCTTCAGCCATGACAAAGGCTTAACCGTATCCGAGGGCAAGCTAGCAAAGCTTCACTGACCGAGACAAGACGATTATTCTGACGAAAGAGCTGGTCATCCAATTTCCGATCATTCTTATGCTGGTCAATGCCTGGCTCGATAACGCAGCCAATTTCTACCGTCGAAGCACCTTCATGCAAGCCAGCCGCAGGCTGCGATACTTCAAGTCAAAACTTTTAGAAATTCTGATTCCGGTGTTGATATCACAGAGCTGCCTTCGACGAGGGGATTACAACCAGTACGGAGTATTAGGTCTAAGAACTTCACAGTTGGTATTTTAATGGGCGGTGTTTGCCGAGTGTCTTAGTGTTATCATTGCTTATCGGTACTAGGTACGAAGAATATATCCAATAAATATTACTAAACAAAGAGCTACATCTCATTTCAAGCACGAGCAACATAAAAACGGAATGGCTAGACAGCATGCCTCTATGACGGCAGACCCCCTGTGCCTGCGAAACATGTCGGCTAACCCTTTGTAACTGGCGGTATTTCAATGACAAGCGTGGCTTCTGTAGAGCACCACGCCGATCGTCACTGATCCAGAAATCCGGCTTCCTCAGATTCCCTATAACGGCATCTTCTTGGATTCTCATTTGACCTTTGTGGTGACTTCTTGCTCGGTTTGCGTCGACACAGTCATGCTTTCATTATCTCCGTGATATGTCTCTGCCAGTTCCTCTAACGTTCGGCGTTTTGTCTCTGGAATGAGCAGCGTTGTGAAAATTCCACAGAGCATGAAAAGAGCGAAAATTTCCATGACGTGATTCAACCACTTGTTGGTTCCAGTCTTGTTCCTTAACGGTCCAATCAATGCTTGGGCAAGCACAGCGCCAACTTTTCCGGCACCAGCCGAAATACCGTGCGCTGTTGAGCGGAAACGTGTAGGATACACTTCGCCAGGGACTGAATCTGTTAGCGCTAAACTGTAGGACCTCGCTCTTCAACTTACCAATAAATGTTGTGGAATTCGCTCCGAAGTTGGAAAAGAATTGGCAGAGAACGTACAACGCCAGAAGAGAATGCGCTGATAATGAATGGTAAGCAAATCCGATGATGCAGAACAAGATTGTGAGAATAATGAAGCTGGCCATTTGAATGGGTTTGCGGCCGATAGTGTCGATGAGTGCAACTGAAACCCAGTATCCCGGTATGTTACCAGCGACAGCGAGAATCAAATTGCCAACAGCGGTGTTGTACAAGTTGTCGTAGACGTTTTTGGAGCTGGCATATCCTATTGCGCCTAGGATAGCAGAATTGTTCAAGCCTAAGCCCCAGAAGGCGACGTCGATGAAGAACCATGACCCCGCTGTCCCAAGCAAGATCTTCCCATGGCGCCATTGCCGAAAGTGCGCAAAGAATTCAGACCAGGTGGCCTTTGGCGTTGCATTTTTCCTGCGGGTCTCGGCGGCATAAGTATGGCTTTCCTCCGCCTTCCCCTGTCTCTTACCGCGGAGGTATGCCTCAGCATCTGCCCGGGCCTTCTCCACGTCCATGGTGATATCTGCGGTATACCGTGGTGTTTCTGGGATTGTCAAGCGGAAGTACACCGCCAAAAGAGCTGGGACTGTGCCGAAGGCGACAATACTGCGCCACATCTTGTCGGCGGCGAGCTGGCATCGCTCGTCGCACTGCGCAGCTGTGGCGGCCGGTAACAAGGCGTCCTTCGAAGCGACAACGCAAATAAAAGAAACCAGCGCCGCCGCCAGATTTCCGAATCCTTGCCTGCAGCTTTGGTATTAGCAAACTGTCTCCGCCTGCAATTCTTCGAGTTCTTACATTGCAAATACGGCGTTCATCAACGCCCCGCGCCATTTTACGGTTGCGAATTCCGAAGTGATGACTGAAGAAAGAGGATAGTCTCCCCCAACACCAACACCCATTACAACCCTCCAAAATATCAAGGGTCCTAAGAAGGAAACCCCAGGGCCACGACCTGATATTGTTTGACCAAATGTGCCGACCAACATTATGATCAATTCGAGGCCATACATTTTCTTTCTTCCCAATTTATCTGCAAGCCATCCAAAGAAGACTTGGCCAATGACAGCACCTGCCGTTGTTGAAAGCTTGATCGCGGTATCGGCAGATGTAGGAATCTTGTGTCCCGGAAAATATACCAGCCCAATGAGTGCTGTGATGAAGTTTGCGCTGAAAAGGTCGTAGGCATCGGTAAAGAAGCCAGTGCCAGCGACAAGAACAATCCGCAGATGCGACAGACCCACGGGAGCGCTGTCTACCTCCGCCAAAGACTTGCGTCTTTGATCGTGTACACTCAATCTGGAAGCATGAGGATTGGGAGCGGCGTCCTTGATGACCGCTTCCTTGGTAGGGAGGGTATTTAAATCCATTATGAAAAGCTTGTTTCAGCTTCACTGGAAGATAAAGAATTCTGCAGGATAAAAAGCGGTTGAGGGTCAAGAACAAGGGCATCTTGAGATATATAAGACAATGACGGCCACAACGATAAAATTTTGTTGACTTCCTCATTGAGTCCATACCAATGATGTGCGCACGTGGATGCAACCACGACGATCCATACGTGTGAGGATGTAGAAGACCAGCCAAAGCCAATCATTTCCAGTGATAGTTATCGCCCTTTCGGTGGCGGCGCAGAAAACGTTAACACGAAATCCATGGAAGCTAAATGGCTCGATCGCTAAAACAGAATACTACCTATGCATTGTAAACCTCCCATTGACATGATACTGCTCCGGTGGCCGTCAACGACTGTGGACGATCCTAAAATCAATTCCCATCCATTAACGGGTTTTACATGTGTCCAGGTAGCAAATGACAGCATCCAAGTCCAAGTGTCTTGGCAAGCACAATACTAGCCAGGTCACATCTCGCCACTGATGTTATAGTTCAACAAGCACCAGAAGCTCCCGCTAATTTTCTTGGCGCTTAGCCTTGGTGGAGCTTCTTCCAAGTGGTCATGGACTGAAGCCAATCAATAGCAAGCAATGACAAAGGACCGAAAGTATGAGTGGGGTTTAGCGCAAAACTATGTAATAGGAGATTTGAGGCCGGAGCGGCACGCAATCGGCCTTTTGCACAAATGTCTCGAGCTCATGAATAGTGCACCTTTAGCACCCTGATCCTATAACGATAAGCCCTTGAACATCAGGTGCAATCAGGTCCGAATAATTGCTGAGTATTTTGGGAAGGGGATACCCTGCCTTCACGCCGTAGAGTGTAGAAGCATATTGGTCAATAGTTAGCGACAGCCACATTATTACGGGGTGTGTTCTAGGCCGTGGTTAAGAGTTTGTCACTACTGGCACCTGATTGCTTCGCGAAAACGCTCCCTCCCCTCTCAGACAAAAGGAGTATCGCTCGGTTTGCTACGAAAATCATTTGCCAATAACCCTTGCCAGGTCTCTCATAGCTCGCTTTCACGAAGCGAGTCCGGCACAGTGTCGCACGACACATGCCTTGGGGTCGACTTCTGCTGGAATCCGGCATGGGATGTTCACAATTTACGCAGTCAGTACCAATTAGATGGAGGCGCTGACACACCAAATAGCATCTCATTCAAACCAAGGCAGGATCCCTCGGCATACTGATTTCTCGCCTTTCGGCGGATCCTGTTCAGCCCGCATGGGCTGGCATCCATCAGCTGCCTCCAGCTCCATTCGGGCTGAAACCCTTTCGAGGGTGCAGACCCTTGACTCTTATAGTAGCCTCCATTCACGGACGCTGTCTGATCATAGGCATGATTGCACACTCGGACAGACTTTGCATTCATCCCTTCCCTAAGGAAAAGGCGCTCCTGTGAAGTGAAAGCCCGGCTGTTCCTTTATTTTCTATTCCCATGCGCCGCACTACCATACCTGCTTTGCCTATATCGCAGGAACCGGATTCGGAACCTAGCATCTCTATCACACTGAACAGTCCGCTCTATATGGTCGCTGGTCGCCTTGAAAGGACATCAAATGTTGACATCTGGAGCCCACTACAGGAGATCAGCGGCGTCGTGAAGATTACAAGCAGGGTGCTCCTCACTATACAGCAGGTTCAAATTAGCTTTGAAGGTAGGATGCCTCCCGGGCTGCCTCGAAGGTCATATAGCTAACACATCGAATTACCATAGGGGAATCCAGGGTTCATACTCAAAGCCTCGACAAGGAGGATCAAAGAAACACCATAACCTTGAAATCCATATACAAAGTGGGTCATGAACCAGCAAAATAAGGATTATCTAATGATCCTCGTCCAGTTTCTAACCCAATCACTCGACCTGGTGAATTTTGAAATATCAAACGATGCAGAGTCCGGAATTTATTTCTACTCCACTCAGTTTCGCTTCATTATTTCTCAATGGGCGACACCAAAAAGCGGCAATGCTCCGAGACAGTG